TCCTGGTACACACAGCTATGTCTCTTCCTGTACGGAGCAGCCAAAGCAGACTACTAAATGATGCTGAGGACAAGTAAAGATCCATTGATGGTAGTCCTCATTGACTAGCAGCATTTAAGGGCTATAATTCTGGACCAGATCTCAATGTAATAATTTTGCTACAAATTGGAAGTGAACAAAACTGACAGAACTTGTGAAGAGAGTAAACATGATTGCCTGGTTCAAGTGGGACTACTACACTAGTTACTATATACATGTATATATAAAGGGTGTGGGATATCTGTATGCTTCAGAAGAATTACACTTGGGTAGAATTAAGCTTCAGTAGAATTAAACTTGGGTAGAATTAAGCTTTGGTAGAATTAAACTTGGGTAGAATTAAGCTTCAGTAGTATTAAACTTGAGTAGAATTAAGCTTCAGTAGAATTAAACTTGGGTAGAATTAAGCTTCAGTAGAACTAAACTTGGGTAGAATTAAGCTTCAGTAGTATTAAACTTGAGTAGAATTAAGCTTCAATAGAATTAAACTTGGGTAGAATTAAGCTTCAGTAGTATTAAACTTGAGTAGAATTAAGCTTCAATAGAATTAAACTTGGGTAGAATTAAGCTTCAGTAGAATGAAACTTGGGTAGAAACAAGCTTCAGTAGAATGAAACTTGGGTACAATGAAACTCCAGTAGAACAAGGCTTCAATAGAAATAAACATTAGTAGAATTAAATTCCCTGGCATTAAACTTCAGTAGAAGTCCACTTGTTTTCATGATGACTTCCTTGTTTTACTTTCAACATGTGAATTTCTCAGCGATAGATACTGTGAAATTAATCATAAAATATATACTGTGAAATTAATCATTAACTATATTTAATCATCTGACTGAAAACATATTACACTGTGTCAGACTGACAGCATAACCAGACACATTTCACCTTATATGAAGAATAATTAAAATAAAACAACTTTTATTAATCAGCATTTATCATAAAATAAACATAATTGTTAACAGGAGAATATAGAACATACACATCAAAAACACTCCTTGTGGTGGCTGTGGTTGAAGCCAGCCGACAGGGGGAAGCTTACACAGATCCTACGTAATCTTATTCAGAGTAAATATACTGTGTCAAAGAAACAATCACTGTCACATTTAAGATTCCAGTACACCGCGAGTGACAGGTACAATCTGGACACTTTCGTTTCCGTGTGGCGGACTGCCAACATGACGCTGTGATTACATTACATCATGCCCCGGGGCAGCAACTCCCTGCTGACCTTTCACCTCTCAACATCTCGTTAGTAGTTGTTAGCGTAAACCACACACTACTGCTTCCCTCGTAAGCCACAGGCAAATATGTCCGGCCATGTGGAGTTATCTGCGTTTATGGAGGCAGATCTACTCCGAGAAAAACATCTTGTGAATACATTCATGTAATTCATTCATGTATTCATTTAGCCCTGCTCAGGAGCCAGTATTCGCCTCCAAGTCTGCAGCAATGTCAGTAAAAATTCGCAAATTGAAACAAAAAGATCCCAATTCATGTCAATGTTGTCATAATTAGTGTGACGGCTTGGTCAAGGTGACTGGTATTTCACTGATAACAAAACAAATAAAGAGAAAGAGGTTTTTCAATAATGCATTACTGCATCAAATGTCATGCAAGAAACCAAATGTTAAAGTATCTTTGAAATTATTAAAATCAAGAATTTACATAATACCAATTAAGATTTTTTTGGAAAAACAAATATCCATTTGCCCGCCAAGGGCACTTAGTTTTGAATCCTAGATAAAACCCCGTTCATTTTTGGTGATGGGCATATTTTTTTGTGAGGTAAATACCTTAAGTATTCACGTAATAAGCGCCTAGGGCGCTCTCAAAATTAGAAACAGGGGGCTCTTATTAGAATATTATTTTGGTAAAAAAAAAACCAGAGTTGAAAGATAAATTTTGTGGATTATGCTGACAGCCTGAAATGTTTATATACGAGAGATACATTTTCCAGAATTAAATTACCCATAATTTAGTGTGCATATAACACACGAGTACGTATTATACGCGAGTACATAAGTGTTGTGTACATTGATCTATCAGAAGGGGTGCTAATTGGTATTGTTCACTAGCCAATATATTAGCAAATATCGCCGTGGGCGCTTATTAGAGAGTGGCGCTTATTACGTCGAATACGGTATTACTCAGTCTGTGGCTTTTTCCACGAATCCGAAGCCAGAATCTAGTAACATTCTGTTCACAGTTTGGTCTGATAAGTTCAGCTAATAATCTCCATATAATAACACTGTTAAACATCTACAGCATATAACAGGTTGGGGCTAGCAGATTCAAAAGTTGTGATCACAGACTGACAACTGCATCTACTATTGGAGACCACTTAGGGTTTAGTATCATTCATTGGTCTGCATCAGTTTGTTTATCCTTGATTGGTTGCTATATATGTTACTGTAATTTCAACAAATAGTAAGTAAATTAGAACATTAAAGAGCAGAGTTAGAAATTGGCACTAGTCCTATACCCTTGCCAAACTGCCCGATGGTAAAGGTATCATAAGGACTAGTAGAAAATTGCCATTTTTAAGGGTCTGGTTATATGTTATCATTATAAGGACGAATGGACGAAAACTGTTAGTTTCTAACACTGAAGAGGCCTAGTTCCATTATAGATGAGGAATACTCTACTAAAGGTGAGTGAGGTTCCTTTAAAGGGACTAGACTCCATTAAGGCTGAGCATGGCTCTATAAACCATAAGCATGGTCCCAATAAAAGTGAACACCCCTCCATTAAAGGGAGTAGGCTCAATTAAGGCTGAGCAGGGTTCCATTAAGGCTGAGCATGGCTCCATTAAGGCTGAGCATGGCTCCATTAAGGCTGAGCATGGCTCCATTAAGGCTGAGCATGGCTCCATTAAAGGGGAGCATAGCTCTCTTAAAGCTGGGCATGGCTCCATTAAAGTTGAGTATGGTTCCATTAAAGGGATTAGGCTCCATTAAGGCTGAGCATGGTTCCATTAAAGGGAAGCATAGCTCCATTAAAGCTGGGTATGGCTCCATTAAAGGTGAGCATGGCTCCATTAAAGGAATTAGGCTCCATTAAGGCTGAGCATGGTTCCATTTAAGGGGAGCATAGCTCCATTAAGGCTGAGCATGGCTCCATTAATGATAAGCATGGTCCCAATATAAGTGAACATGGCTCCATTAAAGCTGGCCATGGCTCCATAAAAGGACTAGGCTCCATTAAGGCTGATCATGGCTCCATTAAGGCTGATCATGGCTCCATTAAGGCTGATCATGGCTCCATTAAGGCTGATCATGGCTCCATTAAGGCTGATCATGGCTCCATTAAGGCTGATCATGGCTCCATTAATGATAAGCATGGTTCCAATAAAAGAGAACATGGCTCCATTAAAGGGACCAGGCTCCATTAAGGCTGAGCATGGCTCCATTAAACAGGGCATGGCTCCATTAAACAGAGCATAGCTCCATTACAGGCGTGCAGAGCTCAATTAAAAAAACTCCATTAAAGATGAACATGGCTCCTTCGGAGTTGTACATAGTTTTACCATGATTTCAAAATTTAAGAGTTTTAAAAACTTATTGATTTCATAGTGTTGATGAATGAGTAATTATTTACACATCAAAGGAAAAACTGCAAACAAATGTGATATGAAATAGAACATTTCCTCACAATCAATTCTGGACGAAACCGATCAATGCATCATCACAGGGTGGCTGGGCAGTCATCAATTGAATCAATCACTAGAACAGTGAACCACAGAAAGGCAGGGCATCCATGTGCCTTGGATCTAGTATTTTAACCAAAGGACATCATGGTTCTCTCCTCGACATTAAGGAGATAAAACGAGGATGGTCGGCTTGGAATCATCAGCTGAGTTTGTCTGAGTGGGTTATCCATGTCATGCTGCGGAATGGTATCCTAGTAGGCAGCACTATAAAACTGGCATTAGTCTGGACGAGTCTGAATGCAACGTTAAACCCATTTCACCTCCCCTTCCCTATTTCTCTACATCTTTTCATTAGTTATTGACAAGATGAATTTATCTAGGCCTGATCTGAAGCCACTATATGGATGTAATCTGCGAATAAATCATAAAATTATATGTTAATGTCACGTCTTTGTAGAGGTGTCTAGTATTGCACTGACAACAGAACCAATAAAGAAGAATGCCTCTGAATTTAAGAAAATAAGTACTTAAAGAAGAAGCCAAATTTCAACAAAATATTGATTTATCTCAATTTGAAGGTCAAGGACACTTAGTTTGGGATCTTTGTTAAATTCAGGACCTCTGACCTCAGAGCTCTGACCCCATTCCTTATGTTTAACACTGTTAAATAACGTTGGTTTGTTTGCTGTTCAACGCTGCACACAGCAATATTCCAGCTGAATGAGGGCGGTCTGTAAATAATCGAGTCTGGACTAGACAATCCAGTGATTGACATCATGAGCATTGATTCATGCAATTGGGATACGATGACATGCATCAACCAAGTCAGCAAGCCTGACCACCCGTTCCCGACAAGCATAGTCGCCTTTTACGGCAAGCACGGGTTTGTGAAGACCTATTCCAACCCGGATCTTCACTTCAGCATGGATCGATGCTCATGATATTAATCACTGGATTGTCTGGTCCAGACTCGATTATTTACAGACCGCCGTCATACAGCTGTAGTATTGCTGAGTGCAGCGTTAAACAACAAACCAACCAACCAACCAACTGCATTCTGACTCTAAACTTTCAGACAGTGGCTGCTTACATGGTACTTGTATTGGACAAAAAAAAAGTTTCAAGAAAGAAAAATCAAAGTTTAACAAAAAAGGTGAATGTTTGTGTGTTCAACCATTTAGGGAATAAATATGATCTAAAAACAAATTTGTTCTGTTTAATAAGTAAAATTATTAGTGTTCACTGACTAAAGTGTTTCTTTCTACTATCTACCCACATCAGCACCATCCTTGAATAGTCTGTATCTTACCGCTAGACACTCGTGACTGGGGGAGGTGACGGCCCAATGGATGGCAGCACGCCCGTGGGTATCCTGTATACTGACGTCACCCCCATAGTCCAGCATGAGGCTCAGGGCCGATAGGTTGGCGTCATGGCACGCCTGGTGGATTGCGGTAGAACCATCTGGAAACAGACATCTGGATTAGGCCATAGGCATTTTTTTTATTTTTCATCTCCCACCGGGTTCTTTTACACTAAAAAATGTAAAACGTTTTTGCATAAAAAATTATGTGCTCTATTTCATCGAATAGGTGAGGTGAGGTGAAATGGGGTTTAACGTCGCGTCCAAGATTACTGCACTTATATAGCGACGTGCATGCACGTGTATGTATATGTGTGGCTGCTTGTACTAGTCCAGACTGATGCCGATTTATAGTGCTAGCTCACTGAGATACCATGCCGCAGTTTAACATGGATACCCCACTCAGACACAGTATACTGACTCCAAGCCTACCAGTCCTTGTTTTAGCCCCTTAATGCCGAGCGCCAGACAGGGTAACAACATACCAACTTTTAACGTCTTTTGGTATGACGCGGTCGGGGATTGAACCCCAGACCTTCAGCTCTCCGTTCGGACGCTCTACCACTAGACCACGGAGGCGGTCTCATTGAATAGATATTCAAAGAAGGCAAGTAACTCGCATTAATGCTTTGTTTTTTTCTTTAAAATAATTTCTCCAATCTTTCTCTCAGTCAGTACTCTCAACACTGATAACACTACTGCATAAATTAAAAATACAGTAATATTTAAAAATTATAACTTGGTGAAGCCCATTTACACATTATAAACGACAGACAACACATCATTATTCCAAGGAAAGGGTTTTTGTATTATTCTGCCCACTCCCTCTGAAGCTGATGATGGAGATGAGATACACAAATACCACACAAAGCCGCAGGGTAGAATAGGCTGTATTGGTTCTGAAGAATTAGTTTCTCAAAACTTGTTGAGTTTGGTTTGATGCTAGTTTTTCAGTCATATAAGGGTGGGTCCGCCTGCTGATGGTTGGTTGATTTGTTGTTTTACGCCGCACTCAGCAATATTCCAGCTATATGACGGCGGTCTGTAAATAATCGAGTCTGGACCAGACAATCCTGTGATTGTCATCATGAGCATCGATCCACGCAATTGGGATCGATGACAAGCATCAACCAAGTCAGCGAGCCTGACCACCCGATCCCATTAGTCGCCTTTTACGACAAGCATAGTCGCCTTTTACGGCAAGCATGGGTTGCTGAAGACCTATTCTACCCCGGAATCTTCACGGGTCCCGCCTGATGATAGAGACTGCATGCCGCAGGGCAGGAATTTGGTGAAACATGGTATGGTCAAAATAAGCATTACAGGCTTCTACAAACAAAACTTAAGTCAGGTATTCTAAACCCATGTAAAATTTATATAACAGTTATATTAAGTATTACCATCATCAGAATAACGTCTACCTTATTTCTAAAAACATATATTTTGTTTTTGGTGACCTTATCTTTAAGAGTGATATTTAAAAACTTACCATGTGCAGTTAGGTTAACATCGGCCCTCTGCTCCAATAGCGTGTTGACCGCCTGTGGATGGTCAAAGTGGACAGCGTAGGTCAGCGCCGTCCGACCAATACCATCCTGGTCATTCACACAGACAGGATCTGACCGAAAGGAACACAACATTACCGAACAGAACAAATAACAAAACTCAAGCAAAAAGCTTGAAAAAGTTAAAACTTTAGCAGTGTTAATAATAAAAGAGGGTCCTGGGGTCTTTGTGGTTTGCAGCTATAGTATTTGAATCTCGGGACCCCCGGGACTTTCTTATATTGACATTAGAGTTAGGACAAGGACGCTTCACTTTGGTGCTTCATTTCGATCTCTGTTGGTTAACTGCGGATGGAAACAGAAATAAAACTATCTCTGTATTCGAGTGTTTGTTCACAGAAACTTCAGAAGCCAGCAACAGTTCCGTCACGTGAATTCAGTGTTCAAAACCAACCACACAGACACAGGGGCCTGTAGGCGCTGTTCTAGAAAGCTTCCTTAGTGCTTTGATGATCGTAAATCCTATACTTTAACATAGACTTAAGACAGTCATAGAGCTAAGATGATTGTAACTCCAATACTTTAACATAGACTTATGAAAGTCATAGAGCTAAGATGATCGTAAATCCTATTCTTTAAAAAAGACTTATGACAGTCGTAGAGCTAAGATGATCGTAAATCCTATACTTTAACATAGACTTATGACAGTCGTAGAGCTAGGATGATCGTAACACCTATACTTTAACATAGATTTATGACAGTCGTAGAGCTAAGATGATCGTAAATCCTATACTTTAACATAGACTTATGACAGTCGTAGAGCTAAGACCTAACTCCTATACTTTAACACAGACTTATGACAGTTGTAGAGCTAAGATGATCGTAAGACCTATACTTAAACATAGACTTAAGACAGTTGTAGAGCTAAGATGATCGTAACACCTATACTTTAACATAGACTTAAGACAGTTGTAGAGCTAAGACAATCGTAACACCTATACTTTAACATAGACTTATGACAGTCATAGAGCTAAGATGATCGTAAATCCTATACTTTAAAAAAGACTTATGACAGTCGTAGAGCTAAGATGATTGTAAATCCTATACTTTAACATAGGCTTATGACAGTCGTAGAGCTAAGATGATCGTAACTCCTATACTTTAACACAGACTTATGACAGTCGTACAACTAAGACAATCATAACTCCAACACTTTAACATATATATGACTTATAAAAGTCACAGCGCTAAGATCGCAAAGCGGAACTGGATCCCAGTCATAAAACCACTGTTTAATTATCCAATGTAGATATTTCAGCTTGTGAACCTATGTGTCTTTACAGATCATTATTTACTGATCGAATGCAGGCATCATGATTATATGAACTCTACTGGAGTAAAAATGGAAAAAGTGCTATGTCTTGCTTATTGTAACTTAGATATGTATAATCGCTGGGATGAGCGAAGGCAACATGGGCTTGGGGCATCACATGGACAGTTGCAATTTAGAAACTGTCACCATGGACTAGCGGTGAAACGATACATCGGTGCACCGGTGCATCATAAGTTTTCTTGCGCCAAAACTATACACGATACTTTTTTTATGTATCGATACAAGACGATACACTTGCTAAAATATATTAATGTTCGTTTAATGACACCCTGGCGTTTTCTTCAGTCAAAATCACAAAATGTGTTGTAATAACGTTCACCATTAAAAATGCTGCAACGAACAAGTATCTAGCTTTTCCTTTTGACCCTACTCTTGCATATTTATAGTCAAGACATTTCCAAACGATTTGACGTAAATATGCATGTCGGGAAACATGTTGTTTCGTGACCTTGCTGTATCGTTTCACCTCTACCATGGACACCTGAAACTGCATGACAAATAAGTTTAGAAATGGTTCACTCGCTGGTTTAAAAATACCCAATACTAAATAGACTGAACCAAAGGGAGAACAAATATATTGAATACCCAAAGAAAGCTATTAATACCCGAAGTGAATGATAAAATGCAAGTAAATACTCAATGGCTCAAAGATTTATCTGAAGCACTGCAATAAACCAAGGCATCGAGTCGGAGCACCCAATTCATAAATTAATCACCTCTTCTAACAAGCATAGGTTGCTGGGGACTGAGATTCTCAACCAGGTATTCTTCCTAGGTTGAACACTGTTTTTTACACTTATAACTCCATAAATGAAAAAAACATATTGAAGTCAACATTTAACAAGAGTCATCCGAAGATGACATATCCCCCCGACGTGGCATGTCGGTAAACTGTGTGTACTGTGAAAGATATAGTTAATGTACATGTTGTATGACAACTAGTTTCATTATATGTCAGGGGCTACAAATTAAAAAGATAAAAATCTATAAATAACAAACTGCACTACCAGGGAACATGATTGATGTGTGCATAAAGTTTGGTGAATCTCTGTCGCATGGTTTAGAAGATATGCTCCAGGCGAGGACATTACCCTAGGTTCATCAATTTTCAATTTAAATTGAAAAAAGAAAAAAAAAGAAAAAATCTGTTAATAGCAAAGGCACCACTACATAACCTGCTTGATAGGTGTAAAAACTTTTGAGGAGCTAAGTTGTATGGTTCGGGAGATATGGTCCGGAGCACTACCCTCAAATTTCCTAAGTTCATCATATTTCCATGGAAACGACAAAAATATAAAATTCTAAAAATCTCTAAATAGCAAAAGGCACTACTACTGAGCCTGATTGGTAAGTGTACCAAGTTTTGTGAAGCTAGATTGTACGGTTTAGGAAATATGCTCCGGACAAACAATGATTACAGACGGACGGACAGACGGACGGACAGACGGACGGACAGACGGACGGACGGACAGACATACTGATGGCTATATCCCCCTGTCATTATACGTCGGGGTGATAAAAATAGTGAGTGAGTGACTGAGTTGGATTTAACACCGCTTTTAACATTAGTCTAGTTATATCACGGCGTGTCAGCTTAATGTGGGGCGAACCAGGATTCAAACCCACAATCATAGGTTTCTGGCGTGCACAAGGGACACAAGGGACATGTCAACTATAGTAACGTCACAGACAGATTAATTTATCGTTACCAACAAAAATGACAACAGTACGAATCAGTGACAGCCTTCTGCGCAATATTGCCCCATCAATTCTATTTTCAGCAATCACTATTTTGACAGTTTCTCGTATCAGTGGTAATGTCCAATTCACAAGCTGTAACCCCACACAAACATGAGATTCTAGCAGCAAAGTGTCTTAAGGCTGTAATGGTCCACCAGTGCATCATAACATGTGACACGTGACACGAAACATGATACACTTCGACCTGTAGTGATTAATATCCGTTCACACATAGTAAAAGTTATCTCCAAATCTCCTGGTCGACATGCTCACTGGTAGTGACTGGTATTTATCTCATCAGGTCTAATGCGTTATCTCCGCATGTCCTTGTGATGTCTTACACCAGCACAGACACTTGATTATCATGTTAAGTTATCACATGAACACAGTTAGTCTGTCTTACAGACCCTGATACATTTATATCAACTACAGCCCATGCAAGTCTATAATGTTTGGCAAGTCTAGATTACTGCAGTATCTGAAAATGAAGAGAATCACTGGGCTCCCTTTTTATTAGATTTTTATTAAGATAACTGAACAACTGTTTATTTCTGTACGATATGTTCATTTCAGAGACTATATGTAAGTCTAGAACACAGTGAAAGAGCTGTTTTCTCCTTGAAAGGCTAGAACAATTTATATTATACATCCATGTCAGAATGATGAGACCTGATTGGTTCATGTGAACTTGATAAAATTTGATGTATCCCGTCATGGAGGGTAATATATTTCTCAGCGGGAGAATAAATCCCTTATACCCAGCTTCGAAGCAAGAAGCTGCATGCTTTTTCCAAGTCCATGAAAGTCACGTGACATACCATGAGTTAACTTCAGCTCAATTGAAACAACTGTTTTCTATCAATTTTGAATTTGTTTTAATTCTTTTACAATGTCATATTAAAATATGTCGGAAAGATAAATTCATTGTAGCAGTATCATGAGAGCTACACTAGGTAATATGCATCCCGCGTTAGGTTTTATACCATGAACTGGCAGTGAGTGGTACAAGACCTAGCACAGGACGCATTAAACCTCACGTAGCCCTCATGAAAGTGCTACAACTTATAATATTCCTGTTTAAACTTCTCTTTTTATCAATGTGCTAAAAGGAGCTGGGGTGTGAAACCATATAAAAATTGTCATGGTCAAATTGTGCATTATTTCTTTACAATACACCACCATGTTACACATACTGTACTGTACATCACCATGTTACACTGTACTGTACTGTACATCACCATGTTATACATACTGTACAGTCCACCACCATGTTACACATACTGTACAGTACACCACCATGTTACACATACTGTACAGTACACCACCATGTTATACATACTGTACTGTACACCACCATGTTACACACACTGTACTGTACACCACCATGTTATACATACTGTACAGTACACCACCATGTTACACATACTGTACAGTACACCACCATGTTATACATACTGTACAGTACACCACCATGTTATACATACTATACACCCCCATGTTACACATATTGTATAGTACACCACCATGTTACACATACTGTAGAGTACACCATCATGTTATACATACTGTACTGTATACCACCATGTTATACATACTGTACAGTACACCACCATGTTATACATACTGTAGAGTACACCATCATGTTATACATACTGTACTGTATACCACCATGTTATACATACTATACAGTACACCACCATGTTACACATACTGTACAGTACACCACCATGTTACACACACTGTACTGTATACCACCATGTTATACATACTATACACCACCATTTTATACATACTGTACAGTACACCACCATGTTATACATACTATACACCACCATTTTATACATACTGTACAGTACACCACCATGTTACATAAACTGTACAGTATGCCACCATGTTACACACACTGTACAGTACACCACCATGTTATACATACTGTACAGTACACAACCATGTTACACACACTGTACAGTACACCACCATGTTATACACACTGTACAGTACACCACCATGTTATACATACTGTACAGAACAGACCATGTAACACATACTGTACAGTACACCACCATGTTACATAAACTGTACAGTACACCACCATGTTATACATACTGTACAGTACACCACCATGTTACACACACTGTACAGTACACCACCATGTTATACATACTGTACAGTACACCACCATGTTATACATACTTTAAGTACACCACCATGTTACACATACAGTACAGTACACCACCATGTTACACATACTGTACTGTACACCACCATGTTACACATACTGTACAGTACACCACCATGTTACACATACAGTACACCACCATGTTACACATATTGTATAGTACACCACCATGTTACACATACTGTACACCCCCATGTTACACATACTGTACAGTACACCACCATGTTACACATACAGTACAGAACACCACCATGTTACACATACTGTACTGTACACCACCATGTTACACATATTGTACTGTACACCACCATGTTACACATACTGTACTGTACACCACCATGTTACACATACAGTACACCACCATGTTACGAATACTGTACAGTACACCACCATGTTACACATACTGTACAGAACACACCATGTTATACATACTGTACAGTACATCATGTTATACATACTGTACTGTACATCATGTTATACATACTGTACACCACCATGTTATACATACTGTACAGTACACCATGTTATACATACTGTACAGTACACCATGTTATACATACTGTACAGTACATCATGTTATACATACTGTACACCACCATGTTATACATACTGTACTGTACACCATCATGTTACACATACTGTACAGTACACCATGTTATACATACTGTACAGTACATCATGTTATACATACTGTACACCACCATGTTATACATACTGTACACCACCATGTTACACATACTGTACAGTACAACATGTTACACACACTTTACACCACCACGTTACACACTGTACACCCCCATGTGACACATACTGTACACCACCATGTTACACACACTGTACAGTGCATATGATCATCAATCAGCAAGCTAACTTACTTTGGTGAACAAGTCGCTCAATTTCCTGCAAGTCGCCATCCATGGCTGCCTGAATGACAGGAGGTAGTCTGACGAAGTTCATACTGTCCTCTACACTCATGGTAGATGCCAGCCGTGTGAAACTGTCCATACTCATCCATTTCCACTGAAACTTGTCAGGGGTATCTACAAATGGGGTCATGGGGCTCAGCCCTCTCGCCGTCAACTGTAACGTATTTTGCGAGTTCTTCTCATGCGAGCGCGATTGTAATATCCGATAGTACTTCTGCATGTGCAACAACGCCAAGTTAAGTGTGTCCCGTAATTCTGCACACTCGCCATCTTCGTTTAGTTTGAGCAAAAACTCATGAATAAAGGCTGCTGCCTTTTGGAAATCTGAAACAAAGTTAATAAATGATTATATTTTTTGTTACATATACAGGCCTACAGACAGTGGTCAAACTACAGGGGTCCTGGAGTCCATGATGTCATGTATGGTCTTTGAATATAACGGACCCCTAAATCTCTAACATTAAACATAAGGGTTATAACATTATTCAAGCTCAATTTCCAAATTTCATCTCCCCCACCCCCCCCACCCTCCCAATATTATTGAGAGCAATCCTTTCAAATATTTATCAATATTCTATCTACCACTAAAAATCTATTATCAAAAATATGTCCATATATTTGAGTGAGTGAGTGAGTGAGTTGGGTTTAACGCCGCTTTTAACAGTATTCCAGTTATATCACGGCGTGTCAGCTTAATGTGGGAGGAAAGCCCAAAGTGATGCAGGTCTCAGACGTTTACCACTTCGGTGAAACCCACGAGCACGGGTATGGTGCTGACAAACCTAGAAACATAATCGGGGCGAACCGGGATTTGAACCCACAATCATAGGTTTCTGGCGTGCCCAAGGGACGCAACTCTGCACAGCGAATCGCGGCGCCTTAGACGACTGGGCCACCCATGCCCCCCTCCATATATTTGAAAAGTCATCTACCTATGAAATTACGAATGTAAAACCATGACTGTTTTTTTATTAATATTTTAGCACATGTTCACACATGTGTATCAAGTATGTTAACAAACTCATGGCCATTTGGCCTTTATTAATGAATAACCTCCTCTTCATCCTTCATTTCAAACACTGTACAAAAAATAAATTATTTTTTATTTAGATTTGATGATTAAAGAAGGAAATTTTCAGTAGTCTAGGACAAGCACACTAGTGTAAAATGTCTATCCCTGATCAATTCAAATCAGTACCTAATTGGTAAGGTCAGTACCCACCATTATGCCAGAAACAGTTAAAGAAATGTTTTCAATACTTCCAAATTGGATAAGGGAAGAGTTGCTATATGGCTGAAATAATGCCGATGCGATATTAAATTTTAACTCACTCACGATAAGAGAAGGGGATTTGGATGAGGGCAGTGGTCAGGAGTGGTGTGATAGTTTATGATCTATGGTTGTTACTACCAGACACATATGTTTGTCTTGCATAGATAGTAAAGTGTTTCAGGCAATGGTTTATGACTGGTCAAATGACATTTACATTGTTTATAGCCAAACAATAAACACCTCAGACATTTGATAACAATTCTGTGTGATCATGGATCATCATTTTAATCCAACTAGTTCCAGAGAAATATATATACGAAAATGCAGATGAGACTTAGGCAAGAAGTTAAATATAGCCTTTGCAGATAAAGTTTCAGAGGAAGAAATATTCATAAATGTTCCTATACTTCATCTCAAAGCGAGATTCATACAGTTTGCACATCGGTTTTTCAATTCATACCTCAATGAACTGGAAAAAATACACAGTCAATCCTTAAATGAATATCTGACAATAGCCTCAAATTAAAAAGTATTTCAAAAGAATCCCTGCATAATACTGAATCAGGATATATTTATTTTCAATTTTCTTCTTGAAAACAATATCAACAAATTAAGTTGTAAAAAGAGAATCGTACTGACAGATTACATGTTAGTATAACAAATTTGATGACATGTCAATCCCTTTTACGGTTTAAATTGTCGACTAATAACAACATTTTACAACCCAATAAGGGCCTCTCCCGATATAGTTGATATAGTAACCAGGGGAACAAGCGCGTCTTCCGACTACCAGTAATACTTGAATTAACACCTCGAAAACAACTTGGTGTCTAACAACTCATTTTGCTTTGATTGCAGTGCCACTAATTAGTTAATCAGATGCATGTCATCGATGGACAATCAGTGATTTGGGGAAATATGACAAGCAACGACTCGTTTACCCTCCACATGGCCGCATTTTGAAACATGAATCTGGGGATATATAGACCCTCAAGCCCTACACAACTCCCTAAAATAATTCAGTGCGGTATTTGATAACATGCACTAAAGACCTTAGGTCATTAGTTCACACATCTTGATTTAATTGTTAAAGTATTTTGCAGGGAAACGATGTAAACAAACCCCTATCACTCACCTTTCCGTTTTATCACCATCCTCGTTCACATGTCTCCGCTTAGGGCGAAATAATTCTAAAGGCAAAACGAACCCCATTTCTTTCTACATGTTCTCAAATATCCAATAATAGCATACTGTCCTCTAATTTGTTGCATCCCCGAACCATAACTCATGTTGTCATCTAAATTTTAACTATGAACTTGGCGGCCATTATTACCCACAGTTCCATTATTGACAATCATATATATACTATTTGCCCGCCCGCTACCTTTATCAGCACAACAGGTGCCCTTGATTTTAGATACACAGTATATTTCTATTCCAAATCAACTTATTTTTAGAATAACGATTATCCATTTTTAATTTCGTCAAAATTTAAATGTCACTTTAGTCGAACATATTTATCAAAACTTAAAATCCATATTTGAAACAAGCCGGTCGAAGTGATGAGATACGATTGTGATTTAATTAAGGAAACTAATCAATGGCTTGTTTTCCGAGCTGAATATGTAGTACGAAACAAAGGCACGCGGGCAGTCTATTAGATCATCATCATCACAACACGATGTGATTACGTAACAGTGATGTCAGTTAATCAATATGTGTCGCCTCTGGTGTTACACACGAATTGCCATTTATTGGACGCGTGCTTGGCGGGAAGGTATCCCATAGTTATCTGAGGCGCTTCAGAAGCAGTTGGTAACATGACTAATATTTGAAATAAAATAGAGAAAAGTATTCTATAGGTTTATGAATATAAAATTACTTGTGAATCCGAAATAATTTATGTTACAAAATTGATTTGTGTAACAAATAGACTTGGTAGATCTATACATTTATATGAACATGTTCATTCGCTGATATAATTTTTTTGTTCGTTTTGGTAATGAAAAATGTAACATAACATATTTCATTGATATTTTGTAAATATATTTCCGATATTTCATACATATAGCTGTTAGTTTTTACATGAAAGGTATAAATAAGGACCTTATTTCATACCGATGTTTATATTTACATGCATCAAAGACTTGACTTTATTCGAATTGACTATGTCGTTATGTGGAAAAAAAGGACAATACGTGTAAACACGTGACGCTGCTTTCAACACACGGATTCTCTTCAATTTATCCATTTTTCATTTTGCAAACAATTGTTATTACTGTAGCTCATACAAAAACGGTTGAAGACATATCCACACCCTATTCATAAAGTACAGTATGCAACAGGTTTTCACTTTTCCTCCAAAATTCAAAATCGTATTTCTTAGATCTTCTTCAATTATATAAATGACAATGTCTGTTCTTGATAATATTATTATGTCTTTGATATAACGTAATGCCTACTTACACATATGCCATTGCAATTACTTTTGTTTTGCTGTTATATATAAATTCATGTTTTGTTGTCTTCTTCTATTGCACTTGTTGACATTCGATCCATTAGAATAGTTGTGATCCCGGTACTTTTTGGTAAAAAGTTATTGTTATTTGTATATTGGCGCCTGAAAATTAATGTATGACGCCAGTTTTTAATTTTAATGCAATTTCAAAGTATAAATGTACTTATTTTGTTTTTGGTACTTATAAATAACCTGCTGAAACCAAATATGTATACGGGCTTTGTAACTGCGAAGAAAATAGTTCCTGGACTATTCACTGTTGATACGGAAATAAAATTCATACGCCCTTCGTAACGGCCGCCATCTTTCTTTGATAATTTTGACATAGGGGCTGACTTCAGAAATCTGTCATCATCGGGACTTCCAAGGGATAAATACATCTAAAATTCCAACACATCGATAGGTGAAGTCTTTGTGATGGCAGATACAGACAAATTAAATATCGATAGCATCATAGCACGGCTTTTAGAAGGTGAGTAATACCGCGTAAACCGCGACAGAAATGGGATGATACTCAACATAATAAGATACAAAGAATATATAGAGGACGGACAAACTCTTTCTATTAATATGTGTAGCAAAGTAGTAACATTTCCTGTCATTGAGCTTTGACAAAAGTGATACAGTTATATGTTACTCTGCACGTTTTTATATCAATGTTATGCTGAAATGGCTTTGTTGATTGTTTACATTTGAACCATTTTGGAGACGTCTGACAGATAAACGTTCTCTTTATTTGACATTTATGCTTGCCCGGAGAAGGTTTTGGGGATAAGCAACTACATGACGATGATGACTACAACGTTTTTATATTCGTATAAGATTCCTAGGTGTTCTTTTTACTTCATGCCCGATTCACGAGAAAGACAGTGGATTCAAAATCGTTCACGAGTGTAGGCTAATATTCCGCCCCAAGTAAATGCAGTCACTGTGGTAGGCCTAGTTCTATTGTTATTTCAGTTATTACTATATGTGATATTCAAAATGTATTATTGTACTACATGGCATGAAGCTTGACAAATATAGAAGATTAGACTCGCCATGTTACGAGTGAGGAGTGACTACTAGTAAATTGTAATGGTAAACCTTAGGCCCACATTCTCCTACAATAGCATATTTAGTAAATTGCCATGGTCCCATGTTCTACACAGTGGGGATTTAGGGTTAACATTGGTCCCCAGCAACCTATGCTGTTTGCAAGAAGCCGACTTGATGGATCTGGTGGACAGACTTTGTGACTTGTTTAAATGCATGTCACCGTACCATCAATGGTGTAGATGCTTACTCATTGTACCAGTAACAGGATGGTCTGGTCCAGAATCGATTGTTTACAGTCCGCTGTCATAAAGGCATGTCATAAACTAACAGCTATGTGGCTTTTGGTATCAATGCACTGTCATAAGATGTAATTGTCCAGGGTTTAAGATCAGTTCATTTTCTAAGATGTGGACTTATTTTTACCCCAAATGTATTAAAGATAACAGTGACTGATGCTCCAGTATTAGACTTTCCTACCCTGTTACTGATTGAAGAAGGGCTGTGATGATACTAAGTCTGGTATGATACATACATGATTGATCACAACAGTGTGTGTGGAAGTCATGATTGAAGTCAGTGGTGCAAATGCTGTAATGCCTTGATATGAACAGTAATATCATATGTAACAAATATGTAAAGCCAGTAATTGAAACTAACGTTAGGCGGAGACGGGTAATTCAGTAAGGATCAGGGGTTTGGAAATTTCAAATGAGAACCATACATTTTGGGCACCTAGTGCTACCTGCCTGGTGCCACATCAAGACTTCATACAAAATGTACCATACACTGCAGCGTTAGAAATAGGCACTCGTCCTATAGCCATTGCCAAACTGACCAATAGTTCAGGTATCACAGTGGTAGAAACTAACATTTTAGTCTACTAGTCCTTATAATGATAAGATATAGCAAAACCCCTAAAAATGGTAATTTTTTACTAGTCCTCATGATACATGTACCTTATTTATTGGGAAGTTTGGCAAGGACTACAGGACTAGTGTCAATTTCTAATGCAGTATCATAAGGACTAGTAGAAATTGCCCTCTTTAAGGGTTTTGCTATGTGTTAAACGCTGCATTGCGCAACATGCTACAAGGTTCTTCTCTGATTAATCCAAATGTCCTGAAATGTGATTGAAATCAGATCAAGGAAGTAAACAATACACTGCCATGTGTTTCATTGGTCATACTCATAGACTCAATATTTACACTTTTTCAAAGCTATGTTTACTGTCTGTTATAAATATTTTGTCAAAATTAACTAAAGGATTAGATTTTTAAAGCATACTGATTTCTCAAGTTTGGAATTGATTTTCCACACTCTTGATGACTCTGCACATTCCCTTATGGACTACAACTTTTGCCAATAAATGGAAACCCTGTAGATCATTTTGGCAAACTGCAGAAAATAAGAACTTAGTTCCTATCCCTGAAAGCCTAATGTCAGATTAATGCATTGACCTACAAAACGATAAATGTATCGAAACTTGAATAGGTGAATTGTCCAACCCCTTTATGATTACACTTATTAATAATGGTGGTTATGGAGAACATATTCCTAGTGTTGAACAATTATCTTAAGCATTGGACGATCAGCCACTATTCATCATGATGCCGAAATGTAGCTGTTGTGTTGCTGACCGCAGCATGTCCAATGCTGAACAATATTTAATCGCTGGAACATATTTAATATATGAATGCTCTTTGTTAATTTTGTTTTGTCTACATCCTGTCAAAATACGGAAGTTCTACTTCTCATGCTCTCGTCAGAAAACCTGGTCATGGCTTTTCCAGGTTCCTAATTTGAGAGTTCAATGAGCAAGGAAGTTAAACAATCACTTGCTTATGACAAACTGTAACTTTCTACTGCAGAACACATTAACCACTGAACATGCTGAAGTAGTTGCGAGTTGTCTCGAGTCATGTAATTGAATGAGTTAATCATTGTCTATCATTTATGACTGCATTGTTACACCACTAGGTGATACAGACTTCATCTAACCTTACTCAGTGATGACACTAATGGCTCTTGATTTATACAATCTATTATTAGTCAAGCAATGCTCAAGCAAATCTTTTCAGTAATTAATGAGTTATAACCTTTGTGTCTGTACTTGAGAAAAGTTCAGTCATGATGTTTACAAGCCATAGCGACATACATTAGGTATTGAGAGTATAAGTCACAAACCAATCCTTTGTGCTGTATGGGCGTACCTCTTTGAATATTTGAAATTTTCACATAAAGTGTCCATGTCAGAAAATTTATAGAGTGAACCCTGATACAGTATGTTTCATTCTGTAAAAATATGCATTGTTTAGGGATTGGTTTTATAGCATCTTCAGAAACAGACTGATCGTCATTTTAGATTCATGTTTGGATTTTTCAAGTATTTATTTTGAACTTGAATTGATGAATTTGATATTTTTAAATAAAATCAACGTTTGACATTAAGAAAAAAGATTTTGAAAGAAAAAGATTTTCTAATCTGTTGTATTAGAATTTGCAAACTTACCTGAAATAATCTATTCCAGTGCATATTGTATGACATCTTGAATAATGCATTGTGACTGAACGTGCTTATGTGACAAGGTGACAGTGTATTGTTTTCACATAATTTCTTCACGGTCATTCCTTCTTTTGATCAACCCATGTAGTCAGGGATGACATAGCCTTGTGTTGAAAAGGTTAGCTCATCGTGCCAAAAGCCCAGCTTTGATTCCCCACTTAGTGCAATGTGTGAAGCCCATTTCTTAGTGTCCCCTGCTGTGATGTGGCTGGAAGAGTGCTCTAA